GACAGAACCTGTAGAACCATCAGACAGAACCTGTAGAACCATCAGGTAGAACCTGTAGAACCATCAGGTAGAACCTGTAGAACCATCAGACAGAACCTGTAGAACCATCAGACAGAACCTGTAGAACCATCAGACAGAACCTGTAGAACCATCAGACAGAACCTGTAGAACCATCATGGCCGCCCTCTCACGTCTTCTGTTTATTCTTCAAATTAACTTTATTTAAAAATCACTTTAAAAACTGATGAAAATAAAATGTTGAGTTAAAGAGGAAACAGGAAGTGGTTTAACTTGGAGTTTCAAAATAAGATTATTGTTTATTATTGTTTATTTGTTTGTTAATGCTTAATTGTTTGTTTTATTGTTTGTTTATTATTGTTGTTGTTGTTGTTGTGCAGGGTGAGTTCTGCCTCCTGGTACTTCCTGAACGTGTTTGGACTCAGGAGCATGTACGGTCTGATTCTGGGTCAGGACAACGGTGAGTCTCAGGTTGATTGACAAGCTCAGAACCAGGCGAGCTGTCGGATCAGAACCAGCTGATCTGTTGTGACCCCTGATCGAGTCCGGACCGGTTCTGACTGAGGCCCGGTCCGTTTCTGTTCTGTTTGACTCCAGCTGCCGATCAGTCCCGGCTCATGCAGGACCAGATGACCGGCGCCGCCATGGCCATGCCCCCCGACCCGAACAAGGCCTTTAAGGTCCGACCCGAGACCCGGTTCTACCCGTCGATAAAACAAGCTGAAATTCTGTTTGTTTGTTTATTTGTGTTTATTCTGTTAGTTTATTGTTGTTTGTTTTTATTTTTGTTTGTGTTTATTCTGTGTTTTATTTGTTTGTTTGTTTCAGAGCGAGTGGGAGGCGCTGGAGGTCGTTAACCATAAGTGGGCTCTGGAGAACGTGGAGGAGAACCTGATGTCCCGAGACCTGAACTTTGGATCATAGAAGAACCAGGATCTGTGGAGGTTCTGATGAGGCAGAACAAAAACCCGGAGCTGTGACGGACAGCTGGGTTCTGATTATTTATTGTTTTCAATCAACAGCAGCTGTTTGAGGACTCAAGTTCTGTGCAGAAGTTCTGGTCCGGTCCTGGTGTCTTCTGGATCAGAACTTTTGCACAGAAGCAGGTTCTGATCCGTTTGTCAGGAAACCTGCAGATTAAAGATGTTTTCAAAAAGCTCGACCCGAGTGTTTGTTTTGAACCGTTCTGGTTCTGAGCTGACCCGGTTCTGTTGGTCCGAATGGCTCCTCTGGATGCCGGTGGGTCTTTAAAGGGACACTTCAGACATTTCTGAACAGTAAACATCTTACCTGCTGCAGATAGAGCTGGTCTGAGCAGGAACAACTGTTCAAATTCAGTTTATAAATCTGACCAGTTTCACTTCAGCTGATGAGCTAAAGGCTAGTCAGAGCTAACAAAAGAAGAGGCGGGGCTAAAGGCTAGTCAGAGCTAACAAAAGAAGAGGCGGGGCTAAAGGCTAGTCAGAGCTAACAAGAGAAGAGGCGGGGCTAAAGGAAGTCTTCTAAAGGTTTCTAAGTACAGCAGGTAAGATGTTTATTGCTCCACAGAGCTGAAGGTGACGATGCGTTCAGGTTGTTAAAAACTACAGGAAATCAGAGCGCTCGTTCTCATGACGATATTTAATTTATATCAAAAGATTTAAAGTACAATAAAATAGTTTCATCTGAAATTTGACAGGAAGACCAAAGAATGGCTCCGCCCCCTCCCACAGGTGAGAATATTCATCTTTTAATTACAATAAAAAAATACTGTACACTCCACAACCCAAAACATTTTCTATAAATATGAAAATAATCCTGTCCATCAAGTCATTCTGATACAAATAAATATCAGAAAACCAAAATATACAAATATTTTTTATCCCTGACAGCTTTGTTCAACCAGAAAATATTCACCTGCTTTAAYGAGCTGAAAAATAAAAACTGCAGAAAACAAGATTTAAGTTCTACAAAGATAAAAGTCATTGGTTCAAACACTGACCAATCAGAGCTCCCGCTGCTTCCAGGTGGGCGGGGCTTCCATTTTAAACCTGGAATAATTAAAATAAGTACTTTTTTTCTTTCAATTAAACTTTGGAATGTGAATTTAATGAAACTTCAGCTCAAATCAAAAACTAAACTTCCTGAGTCAGAAAATACTAAAATAAAACCCTGCGGCCGAAAAAACTAAATAAATCCATTTAACTCGAGGTTCATTCAGTCCGTTTCCATGGTGATGTAGGAGGCGCCCTGCCCCGCCTCCTGGTCTTTGCAGGAAGTGATGTCGTTGGCGAAGTGAGAGGAGGCGGAGCCATCGTTGGGGGCGGGCAGAGTGGGTTTTCTGATCTTGTCCTGTCGATGGTAGAACAGGACGTAGGCGGCGTTCGTCTGCAGGAAACAACAAATATTTATAAACAAACAAACGATCAAACTGTGGCTGCAGTTTGTTTACTTTCATCTGATAAAAACAAATATTTATAAACAAACAAACGTATCAAACTGTGGCTG